CCTATACATAAAGTTGTTTTCTAGATATTTTTATTTTTCCATTAAAGTATTAATTTGGTAGATATTTTAACGTTTACCAATAATTATTGTGAGTTGACCATGATTGATTTGTCAGAAACTGACAGTTTGACATTACTGTTTATTAATTCAGTATTGGGGTACATCGTAAATTAGCAGCAATTATTATTTAGCAATTCAATAGTTTATTCAATTTAAATTAGCAATAATGAATTTTACTACTGATGAAATGATAGATAAATATGATCGATATTGGGAGAATGCAATAAAAATTCATTACTATCAGCTAGAATTTATCATGAACGGTTTCCAGATAGGCGGCAACCTAGACAAGATACATTTGAAAAATTAAAAGATCGATTTAACCGCACTGGTTTAGTGAATTATAAAAAACATGAACGAAAAAAAACTAGTGTGACAGAGGAAAACAAAATGAGTGTGTTGATGGCAGTTACAGAAAACCCACTCACAACTATAAGGAGTATTTCCAATAAGCAAGAACTTAGTTACTACTCTGTTCAAAACATTCTATCTAAAAACAAGATGCACCCATATCATATTCAAAAGCACCAAGAATTAAATAATGATGATTTTCAGAAACGAATAGTATTTTGTGAATGGGCCTTAAAAAAAATTAATGAACAGAGATTTTTTTGATTATATCATATTTGGTGATGAAGCTGCATTCCATTGAAATGGTTCTGTTATTAGGCATAAATAACTTTCACTACTATTCAACAAGTAATCCATACCAAATAGTAACACATAGTCAAACAAGATAATCTTTAAATGTGTGGGGAAATATCGTGGGTAACCATGTAGTAAGACCATATTTGTTTAAATATGGTAATAAACGTAAATGGTAAGATTTATTTAGATTCTATCGTACGTCAGTTACCGATATTATTATACTTAATATACGTGAACAAATGTGGTTTCTACATGGCAGTGCTTCTGTGTACCACATCGAATTAGTACGTGGTGAAGTTAATGATCAGTTTGGTGAAAGATGGATCTTAAGGGGTGGCCCCAAATACACCAGAATTCAATAAAGCGGACTCATTTTTTTGGGGTTACATTAAAAACGAAGTATATAAAATACCTTCAACAACAAGGGATATAAAAAATAGAATCCGAATTGCATTTCAAAATATTTCTTTACAAATGCTTAGTAATGTAAGTAACTCTTTCAATGACCGCTTTCAAGTATGCATAAATGTTTTGGGAGGTCATTTTGAACACCTTACTTAAGTATGATTAGTTAAAATTACAGTTGTTTTTTTATTTTTTTATGTGTTGTTATTTTTTTTATTTTCTGTCGGTTATTTTTTATAACTTTTATTTGAAACAAATTGTTTTCTTTTCTGTGTCGTTATCTCGTTACTGAATTAAAAAACAATAATGTCAAACTGTCAGTTTCTGACAAATCAATCATGGCCAACTCCCAATAATTATTGGTAAAAGTTAAAATATCTACCAAATTAATACTTATCTAGAAAATTGATAACTGTAGGTATAGTGAGTATTTCATAAAATGTGAAGTACGATATTAGTACTTTTCGATAGTGACTTAAAATACAGGGTGTTCTATTTAAGATTATCAAGAAAATAATGTACTTGCATTTTGACTTACCCTGTATTTGATTTAACGAATATTATGAAAACGAATATGTTTTATAATTTTTAACAATTATTAAAATACTATGGTTGCAATAGATCAATGGTCTTATACTCCTTTTTAATACTTTTTACCCGGTATAACACCCGGTATAAAATAATAAAACTTAACATTATTGTGATATGGAAGTGAAGCAGATTTCAAATTTAAAATAAAATACGGGGTGTTTCATTTAAAAAAACATAAGTTTGGTCTTCTGCCATCTTATAGAACACCCTGTAAGATTGTAACTAATTTTAAAATGTGGAGTTTAAAGCTGTCTACAATTTTTGTCAATAACTTTTTTTTTGTAATTTTTACTATAACAGATCTACTGAGCTTCCTCACACTAATCAATCACCCAAAGGAGTTATCAGATAAATTTTCTGCCAAGTAACCAAAAACAAAATTTGATTAATCTATTAATGTTCTGCATTCTGAGAAAGATTTCCGAAGTAGAAATGGAAACATCAAAAATAAACTTATTATAAACTTAAATTGTGGCTTAGTCCCCAAAATATAGGAAATGACAAATACTTCTGTTTTACATTCAAACTTAACCTAAATACTATAAAAAAAAAATAAAAAAAATTGTTTTTAAGCAAATTAGGTGGTTTATTTGACAATTTATTTATTGAAATAATGCATATTCGTAATGTACCCAAAAAGTACATACAAGTTCAAAAAGAAACGTTGAAATACATAAAAAAGGAACAGAGATACAGTTAACAGCGCCTTTCCCCTCCCTTCAGCTCCCGAGAGTTTCAAAGCCGACCGATTTTACATACATTTTGAAGCTTTGTGGACGATTAAATTAAAGGGAAATATTTTTAAAATTTAGTACTTTAAAACTATAAAGTATATTCTTTCAAATGGCGCTAATTAGATTTCTTAAGTATTATAAACAAAGGTGCTATGAATTAAATAAAAAAAGAGGCTAACTTTGTACCAAATTATTTTAGGACAAACCTTTTTTTTATTTAAATTTGTGAAAAAATTCAGGCTTTTTAAATATATAATAATAATATTTTTACAGTTAATACATTTTTTTGAAAAATTATTTTGCAATATTTAAAATTAATTTTCTTAATATTTTTTTAATGTAAATAATAAAACAAATCTTCTTCTACCAGAAACTACCCCTTGAATTACTAAAACTGTATAAATTTCTGACTTATATTGTTGCAAAAAATGTTAATTTGGGATAAACAAAATAACTTTTAAACTATTGAACCGATCACTTTGAAATTTTGACCTTATTTTAAGCACTACAAGACACATCAATACATGAAATATAAATATTATAAGTTTATTTTCAAAAAAGTTATTAACATTTAAAAAAAAAACCGAAATTTTTTACTTATTTTGCAACTTTCTAAGCAACAAATAAGGATGGAAACATTTAGAAAACGCCATTTTGTAGGTTTTTTTTATATAACTTATAACTTTCCTTTCTTCTAAAATTTGTTTAAATTGCTTTACTTTTTGACGATAGACGAAAAAAGCAAAAATTTTCCGTTTTTTGACCTTAATTTGTTAATAACTAATTGAAGTCCAAAAAATCGACAGCAGGAAACATATAGGTTTTTGTTACAGAGGTCCATATTACTCAAAACAACTGTCGTTTGCCTGGCCGGACGAGTGTCATGAAAAAATGCTTATTTCCCTGGGCTATAAGTTTCGAAAAATTGGATGAATTTTATAGCTATAAGTTTCAATATAAAGTTTCGATTTTCATTCAAAATTTGTGCAAATTTTACTATTTAATGTTTATCAACAATGGAGATCTGATTAAAAAAAAAGGTCGCTAGCTACATTCCTATTGGTCATAGAAGGTTTTTTAAATGTGAGTTTTTTTACCAGCTATCCAAGCTTGGTTATGCTTGGCATGGTTGTACGTACAAGTCTGTAGCTTGAAAAATATAGAAGTTATTACAATTGTTTATAAGTAAAAACATATCCCTTTTTCAAACGTTTATTTTGTAAATAATTTCGATGAAAACGCAATATGTATTTAACTTCTGAGATAGTTTAAGTCTTAAAAATCCTATAAAATTTGCTAAATGTGTCTAGCATCATTCATAGGGCAAGTTCAATAGTTTAAATAATTAGCCTCAGGGATAAATAAATTAAAAAACTTTTCAACTATCTGACCAATCGGGGAGAAATTTCGCACAAATATAAAAGACGGTAATTCCTCGAAGTTCAAATGTATTAATAACATTTTATTTTGTTAATAAAACAATTAATAAAATTTATAAATTTGTGCAAAAAAAACTACTTTTTTGCAAATATCTCCGTAAATTATTTATTTTAATTGAAGAAAACGGAAAAACTTAAAAGCTTCAGATATCTGCGAAAAATTTTGCCGTGAAATCGATGATTTTTGAATAACCAGGCTGGGCTACAATCACAATCATCGCGCAAAATACCGACGTACACTAATTAGATTTGTATTCGACATAACATTTGCAGTTCTTGATATTATTGACCTTGACCCACGTTTTTAATATAAGTATTTAAATATTTTTAATATTTATATATTTTGAAGCAAAGCTTCTATACTAGCGTTGTATTAATTTTTCCCTATGGTAAAATGAAGAGCAGATCGTCACGCAATTAGCGACAACAGCGCTACTTATTTATACAAGTTATTATGTACTAGGATATTCTGGAATAGTCCACCTCTATTCGCTTGCATTAGCGCTTAGATGTCCAACCCGGTCGATACATCCGGAAGATTCCCGAACACAGATCATCGTCGTATCTAGATGCAACCGTTATATGGGCTACGTCGAAATAAGCATGTTCGGTACAATAACTTAAATTTTTTTTGAAAAATTCAAATATTTTCTTGAGCTCAATTATAATCCAAAAAAACTGAAAAAATCAAATGGTTTTTGGGCTTTAAAACATATGTTTTCAGATTTTTTAAAGGATCGTTCAAGAAAATTTTTTTTCGAAAAAACACATTTTTTGCGATAAGGGACCCCAGGGGAGAGATAGGGAGCTAAAAGTTTGGCTAAAGGAGTTTCTAAAGATGTACTTTCAAGTACATAACCCCAAATAAAAATCCAGTCTAGTGCAGATTTCACCATCTTATCCCACTATAGCCTTTATATGGCACTGGATCCCCAAGACCCTTCCCTATAACACTGTAACTCTTCACAAAATACGGTTGACACCACTGTCAACTACTTCGTACTTTAACTATAGTTTGTTTTATATGGTTGTTTAAAGTAAACATGTTTGTTTTTGATGAGCGAATAAGCTAAAGTCATGACACGTTTATGGCGTAATTATGTTCTAAACAATATCAACTTACCTTATAAGAATTTTTTCTAGCGGTTTTTGCAATAAAACACAGCAATAATTTTCTTTGATTTTTTGAGGGCTGGAAAGGTAACACAAAGCTGATACTTCAAGTTTTAGGTCTTCAATAATCTAAAACAAAAATTTAGTTTAAAATTTTGAAACTTATCTAATGGAATTTTTAATCGTAAATATATCACAGTTGTACGTTTAATTCACAGTTTTTTACCTAATTATTAGTAAATTTTGATCCTGTCATTTTAAATGTTTGAAAACCCCAGAAAATAGTAATTAACCGATTGACAGTTTTTTACCTAACTGTTAGTAAATTCTGATTCTGTCATTTTAAACGCTAGAATGCAAATTGGCTGTTCATATCAAGTTAAAGAGTATCAGAAATGGTATAAATATGAAACAATGGCAAGTTTGTGAAAGGCCCAAAATATGAATTCGTAATTTGATGGTGCTGCTACAGCACCGTCAAATTTTTGTCAAAGAAAAGAAAAGTTGGGACATAAACTTAAAAAATATTCTACACTTGGAAATATGCTACTTTTAGTTAAGTTCATTAAGAGGAGGAAGGAGAAAAAGACTTTTCGTTGGTATTTTCGGTAAAGATTTTAATCTTTTAATTTTCCATAACCATTCGTGCTCAGAGCATTCGTTGAAATTAGAAATCACCGCATATGTATGCGTGCTCAAGGCGTTCCATCCATTCATGAAAAAATGTCTGAGGAGCTGCTTATGGATAGTGCCGCGTTTGTATTTATTTGTTCATTAAAAAAGAAAAATTTTAGGTCTTAAATAATCTAAAACAAAAATTTAGTTTAAAATTTTGAAACTTATCTACTGGAATTTTTAATCGTAAATATATCACAGTTGCACGTTTAATACACAGTTTTTTACCTAATTATTAGTAAATTTTGATCCTGTCATTTTAAATGTTTGAAAACCCCAGAAAATAGTAATTAACCGATTGACAGTTTTTTACCTAACTGTTAGTAAATTCTGATTCTGTCATTTTAAACGCTAGAATGCAAATTGGCTGTTCATATCAAGTTAATGAGCATCAGAAATGGTATAAATATGAAACAATGGCAAGTTTGTGAAAGGCCCAAAATATGAATTCGTAATTTGATGGTGCTGCTACAGCACCATCAAATTTTTGTCAAAGAAAAGAAAAGTTAGGACATAAACTTAAAAAATATTCTACACTTGGAAATATGTTACTTTTAGTTAAGTTCATTAAGAGGAGGAAGGAGAAAAAGACTTTTCGTTGGTATTTTCGGTAAAGATTTTAATCTTTTAATTTTCCATAACCATTCGTGCTCAGAGCATTCGTTGAAATTAGAAATCACCGCATATGTATGCGTGCTCAAGGCGCTCCATCCATTCGTGAAAAAATGTCTGAGGAGCTGCTTATGGATAGTGCCGCGTTTGTGGTTATTTGTTCATTAAAAAAGAAAAATCAAAGGAAAAATAGGCAATGGTGGACGACGCATTTATTTAAAAGAAGAACCCTACAAATGAAGTCCGATTTACTAGTAGATTTGGCGTTAGAACCTAATACTGGACAATTTCAAAATTTTACATGTATGTCAGTAGAAGACTTTGAACGCCTTTTAAATGATATAGGCCCCGTAATAAAGAAAAACGACACAGTCTTAAGAAAAGCCATATCTGTTAGGGAAAGTTTACTGATAACATAATATAGGGTTTTCTTCATACAAATCTATTAATTGCAAACATTGTTCATTTGACCACTCCATTTTACACATAAATCAATAAAATTAATAAAACTCAATAAATCTGAACTTGTCTTGCAAATGCAACAAATCCCCACGCTATCCGTCTAAACTGAGCGCGAACGCACACGTATGTTTCTTTGATGTGTGCGAAAAAACCGACACCACTCTGGCTCGCAGCATGTGTGCTCAAGTCATTCGCGAGAAGCAACGCATGCGGCGAGAGGTTACGAAAGCGCCGTCCACATTTGCACACGTATGTGTATTCGTGGCTGCTCACCGCATGCGTTTGTAGGTCTGTACGCGCCTTTATGTATTGTTTAATTTGTGCATATATTCCTTCCCATTCTTCATTCTTTTTTTGTCGTTTTCGTTTCACTTCTCTGCTTTTCTCTTTGCACTTCTGTGTGTCTTGTAGGGGTTGGGCGTTTATACTTTTCATATATAAAATTTTCTTTTCGATTATCGAGTTCTTTCAAAGCTTATAATGCCGCCTCTTTTACGCTGAGTTTTCAACAACCGTAATTATTGTGAACATTGTTTATTTGACAACAAAACGTTTAGAGAAAATGTGGAAATCGCCTAAATGTTCTAGAAATTTGGCACTAAATGTTCCGGTTTACTTACCTCATGCCTCATATTTCCTGGTGTGCCTGTCGTAAACCCAATATTAAGCACAGTACAAGGAAATTTTGAGGAAATTCTGACTATGCAGAACCAAGTGGGAGGTTTATCACTCTCCTTATACAGCAGTTTTAAGTAAGTATGGTTGTCAACTAAAATAAAAGTAGCCCAATCTGCAAGGAGACCGTACAAAGCTGTTGCTGCTTGTCTACATTGAACAATCTGGAAAAGAACAGAGAAATTTTACACAGAGATTAAGCAGTTTTCTACATAAACTTTAAAATATTGCAATACCTGCACATGAGTAATATCAGTAACGTCAAACTTGATATCAGGATAGTAAAATTTGAAGTACTCAGGACGTTTTGTCATAATATGTATGATATTTGTTAAACGGCAGTTTTAATCACCACTTACATCCTTCACGTGCTCACTATTTACCAGCTCAACAACTATTTAACACGTTGAACGCCGCACGAATGATATACGATTCACGCTTATTTTACTTACAGGACCGCGTGAATCACAATTGCTTCGCATGGATTGTTATACTGTGGCCACCGCCGCGCCGCTCGTAGGTGATTCGCGCTACAATGATAAGTATATGGAAGTTTGAAGTTAGTAGCCCCCTCAACAAATATTTTTGATTAGCACGGCCCTGCAAGTAATAAAACGTACTCGATATTGCCTAACATTATGGTTGTTCATTTCTGCCCTTTTACACCAATATGGACTCTAGATAATATGGTAAATAAAAGGTAATAGACACATTAGTTTTACAAAATGCTTTATTTCTTCAACAATATAAGAAACTGCTCACTAGGAGAATATTATAAATATAATACCGAAAAGGTATTTGTATAGGAAGAAGTATCGCATTCTATATAAAAAAACTATAGAGTACAATTGTGGACATTTGTGAAACAACTTACACAATAGAATTTGTCACATTGAACACATTTCCATCTAGTTTGCGTTACTTTCGAAGTCGCGTTCTTTCTGTTGAACTCTTCGGACAAATTCTTATAGCAAAATACGCATCTGCGACGATTCTTTGTTTCTACTTCTTCCAAAATATGCTTTTCCCCAGACGAAGATCTTTCCTTTGGTTTTATTTGCAGTAAATCTTTTGCTATTTCTTCTCTAAACTGAGTTATGGTAATATTACAGCCCGTTACTTTTTTTATATAATATGAATGCGTTTACAACTGCTGATCCAAGGAGAATTTCAATGGCCATTTTCCGATACCACTTTATAGTTCTTCTAAGACAGGAAGCATAAGCCTTTATTTGGTCGGATAAATCTATGAAACTTTTGTTTTTATTGTAATCGATGACAACTTTTGGCTTTTCTTTCACAGTTCCATTTTTTGATGTTACTGGTAGCATTATTTCCGTATGTTTTGTTGACAACATCAGAACCTCGCGTTTATCACACCACTTTATTACTACAACTTCTGAGTCACTTTCCGCACCAATTACCTGCCCCTTTTTTAGCTTTTTTTCAATAATATTTTTTGGATTTCCCTTTCGATTTCTTCGCAAGGTTCCATCAAGGTGTGTTTGTCGTTCTAATAATTTATGTGCTAGTTCAATACTCGTGTAATAGTTGTCAACAAATACAGTACGACCGCTAAAACAACCGAACTGGAACACTAAGTAAACTATTAGTTTTCTCGGTACGACAAACTTACTGTACCCATCTTCTATACACAATTTAAAGAATGTTACACCAAACTTATGCTGTTTATTTTTGATAAAGTGTAGGAAAGATAGCCGACCACGAAAGGGAACTAAAGTTTGGTCTATACAAATGTTACCAGATGGCGTTATAAAGTTTTGAAATATTTGTCAGATGCGATCAATGAGCGGTTTTATCTTATACAGTCTTGCGGAAATATGTGAATTATCGTTATCAGTAAAATACCAATTATTCAGAAGTTCAAATCTGTTTCTTGACATGACTTGTTTTATTTCAGTGAAGTATAGCACATTAGAAGACCAATAAGAAGATAGTTTTGGCATTTGAACAAGCCCAATCCAAATTTGTAATTACAAAAATATTTTTATTTAATCTATATTCGTATCTTTCCACTTTCTGATTAGAGCATTAGGTAAAAGAGCTTTCTCAGCTTTTTGGTATCTATTTGTCTCGTTGACCATCTTAGTACGAAGACTGTCATCCACAAATAGGTAAAAGGAATCTATTAGTTTTTTCTCTCACATATTTTCCGCAATATCAGAGTTAATTTTTAAATTATTAGCAAAGAGCGGAAATGTTTTCAAATTGTTACCTTTGATTGCACTCCACTGTAAATTGCTAGAACTCATATCTCGAACAAGTATCTCATGAACTCATGATCACCCTCAATGATTTCATCAACTTGAGAAGAATGACTTGTACTTGGAGCTAACTCGTCAACTTGCCTGCTGCTTTCATTTATCAACCGTTGTTGGTCAGTTTTTTGTACGACGTACTTTTTTTCTTCCTTATAGGCGAGCAATGTTCAGAAGAAAAGGTATCACTATCACTATTTACATAACTTTCCGATGAATATCCGAATGTTTCTTCATCCTTATCACTTTTTAAAGTTGAATTTGTTTATTTTTTTCGCCCATTTTAGATGCACAATGTATTACACTTATTTAGATAACGACGCGAAATAGACTGAATGCTTGTAATATAAAGCTATGATAATCGACTACGACCGACAAGTTGATTCCTGTCAGCGTGAATCACGTGTGGGTCGCGCGGCCTCCAAGAGAGATTTGGTACTGAGGGCCGCGTGGTGCATAGAGGTAATAGATTTTAACAAGAGCTATGAGTCATGCTGGTGCAGTACACAAGTTTACCTGAGGTTTACAAGGTCATAGCTCTTATCAAAATCCATTACCTATACTTGCTTCGCGGTTCAAAGTTCGATTTGGAAAAAAATATTGATGTAACATGTTTATGTATGGAATATTCATGACATGTTTTGACTAAAAGAATATCCTCGGCCCCGAAAATCATTTATGTACTATATACATTACGGCGTTCAACGTGTTAATATTCAGTTTCTCATCCTTACATAAATTTGAGCTTTTAAACATCATTGCAAAGCACTCAAAACATCGAATTAATGGGTCATCCGATTCTTAACACACTAACACACACACGCACACACATACACACACACACACACACACACACACACACACACACACACACACACACACACACACACACACACACACAGACGTACTCGCACACTTTTGGATTGACTTCCTTCGGAGGGAAAAAGTGATAATTTTAGAAATAATAAATTCATTTTTGATTATACAGTACGTTAAGTTTTAAAATAGAGATACACCCTATAAATGGCAACACTGCGCGCCGTCGACTTTCTACGTAGCTGCTTCATTGACCCGTTGCCAATAATTCGTCATTACACAGAGGTTGTTTAAAGCGTTAACAGCGTAGACCTTAAATTTAATTTTGTAAAGAACATGCCTGTGTATACGCCAGCACAAAAATTTCAAATAAGAAAATGGTTTTATTGTGGTAATTCAGGGCAACAGTGTGTAGATTTATTTTCTGTGTTTTTTTAGATGAGACCAATTCCTTGCGTACAGTCAATTCATAATATTGTTAAAAATTTTGAGAGTTGTCATTGCCTTAAAAACTGCAAAAAATGTCACGTTCAAGAAGTATCACCAGAAAAAGTTGGGGAAAGAGAATACCGGGATACACAAAGTCGTGCAACAATCCAGGTAGATTCAACCAGCGGCGGCCGGCCAGGTGAAGTAGGTCAAGGTGAGGTTCACCAAAAAAATATAATTAAATTGAGACAAATAAATAAAAAAAAAACCAACATTATTATATATAAATTCTAAAATCAATTATTTATTCTCTTTTAATTAATCTATAAATTAAAAAAGGCACCTAGCTTTATTAGCGGTGCGGTAGGTACTTAACGGTCAAGTCCTGACCTGTGTCACTTGCCGTGTATGATTCAGGAATAGGTGAATATCATTTTTGAAATGCGAAATTCATCTGCATAAGCGTTCACGGTTGCCATGGCAACGTGACGTCAGCCTGTCGCTAGTGATAGTTGAGAAAAATAGCTACTGCAGTGCCGATAAGAAATATATTATTCGTCTTCACCCACTGGCCACTAGTTGCATGTGTACTTATTTAGTATTGGCAGCGACAATATTTTGAAATTTAGTCTATTATACTAGACATTTTTGATATAGTATAGTATTTATTAGTTTAGTTTTTATATAACTATACAATTTTTTAATGAGATTTGGGCACGACGTAAGTACAAAAACTCCTCTTGGCTCCGGCAAGCTTTCCTCATCTTCACCCCTTTTTTAGGCCACGAGCCGCCGCTGGATTCAACACATTCAAGTAGAAGTGTTGCGAGAGAGTTAAGGCGGAGTCACAGTATAAAGCGGTTCCACAGTAAAACCACTCCTCTGTCGGCACTTTGATCTCAGGAAGTATTTATAATACCGGTAAAGTACGAAATTGGTAACTCACCAGTGATGGATGCGGGCGGAGGCCGCACGCTCCTTTGGTTAACCTTACAGAGTCGTATTAAAACTTTCTGAGCCTACTACTATTATTTATTAAAATAAAAAATGCAGCTTCCCATATTTAACTGTCCAGATGTGCTTACTAAATGTTAATATTACAAAAACAAAGGGTTTAATAAATGAAAAACAATATTACAATTCAATGTTTATATTTTTCAACGGTATTTAAAATATCAACGGTATTGCGCAAGTTTTAAATCTCAATGATTTTTAATATATTATACACGTCATATAACCTCAAATAAAAAGAAGGTTAATTTCGAAGCTCTCACGGCATTACTATACTCTGTTTTTAAACCAGGAGGAGTAATTCAAATTTACCTCGTCATGACGCGGTTTACTCCACTGTTATGAAATTTTGACATTATTGACATTTATTAAATTTTGTCACTATTTACATTTCGTAGGTTAATTCGGTTATATCGGCGATTTTTTGTGTTTTCTGCATTATTCGTTTAGTTTTAGTTGTAGTCTGCAGAACATTAATTAAATTTTGCAATAGTCTTTTCGTCAAATCAATCGCGTAATGTGCAAGAGTGCATTAATTAAAATTCAAACTGCTGAAAAGATAACCATTTATTCTATACAGTATTGGAAGATTCAAAACGGAACATACGAATTATTAATACAATTATTAA